TCTCCCTCCTCCTCCTCTGCAACAACATGTTCTTCTTCCACCTCCACCGCGGCCTCTACCTGCACTTCTTCCTCGCCCTGTTGTACCTCTTCAACCATAGCAGCACCAGCAGCAGCTGTTGCTTCTTGTTCAATTATTCTCCTTGTGTTTGCTATTCGAGCTTCCACTTGCTGCATCGTAATTCGCAAACTATATAAAATCCCCTCCAATTCATCCCTACGTTGCTGTAAATTCCTAAGCATATCACTCAAATCAGCCAACTCTTGGCTACGAGAATTGCCATCAAAGGAAGATGAAGAGGCACCATTGTTTGCCATTATAAGAGAGAAGAAAACATTCAGAAAAAGAAATAAAAGGGAGAAGAAGTAGAAGAATCTTTCAGAAATGAAAAGACAAGAAAGAGATGTGCTGTCTTTTATAGCCTAGGCACTAATTGGAAGAAGATGTAAAGACCTATTCTAGATCTATTAGAGAAATATACACTTTCCAAGGTTCATTTTATCAGAAAAAGTACTTATAACAATAATTCAATGTACATGCCATTTATAGAATGATCCTAAAATATTTCTTCATTTTTTCCCCTTTTTTTTAAAAAAAAAAAAGTTTAAAAATTTCACTTTAATACTACATAAAAATAATCCTATATTTTTAATTAAGTTAGAGAAATACAAAAAAAAAAGTATTGAAAAACTAAAATGTAACATCATTTTTACATCATTATCCTCGATTTATAAGATTAATTCAACTAATTAGTAAGGAATTGGTACTAAAAAAATGATGAAGAAATATTCCAAGCTTTTGCTTAACTTAGTTTGCTTATCTTTAATATGTATGTTGATAAAATTAAACTCTGAAACATAAGCTAATCCAAAGCCAAACCAATAGTAACAATTCTATAATCATATTAAGCAATAAAACCAATTATCAAAAGTAGAAATGAACACTATCTTTACCCAAAGAAGGGAATGTATAGTCTTTTCCATCTTTACTGAGCTATAACAACTATACTCTATTTCTTTGCAATAATTATTAGTTTCAAAACAGTAGATTTTTTCAATATTTTATTTTTATTAATTAATGAATCATAAACCAAGATATAAAACAATATTTTATGGAATTGTTAAAATTTATTATGCTCTACATGTCATGTGTCTTAATTTGATTCGATTAAAAACCTTACAATTAAGTACATGTATTAGGTTTTTCTCAAGTTGAAATCATATATACTTTATCTGTGTTATTATTTCTGCGTAGTAATAGTGATAAAATGAATTATAACAGAGTTAGGTTTTATTTTTATTGAAATCAAAATTTTGAGTCAAATACAATACAAATTTTACTAAGGAATCTCTATACTTGAGCTATAGGTCCTAGGCATTTGTGTTTCACTATCTCCATAAATTAACATATTTTACTAATCTTAGTCATTTAATTAGTGTATTAATATATAATGGTCCTATATCATACTGCATAATGCATGTGATGTAACAAAGTATGTTTCTATACATGTAATATATCCTACTATTACACGATTAACACCCAAAGATTAAATAAAGGATAATGCATCATACAAACAAGCTAAGTTGAAGAACAAATCTTTGTATTGCATTTACGACCTTGCATATTTATTTAGAAGAAAAGGTCCTTCATTTAAGAACACCCAATTATTCTTATTCCACACTATATTGTTGATTGTCTATAAATTTGTTTGCTACAAATAGGCTTTGATTCCAAGAACTTAGCAAATCAAACCTTTCACCAACAATTACTGATTCTAATCTTTCATTAATCAAAGGGACAAGTTTTACTGCACTTCAAACCAACATAATGAAAATTACTTATGTACTAGAGAATAACCATTTAATCAATGAAGTCAAGCATTTACCCAAAGAATAAAAAGATAAACAATCAACCATAATAAGTTTATCAAAGGTAAAAAAGAATACTGCCTTTCCCTAAAGGAAAAAAGAGAGATTAAATTTATAGCCTTTTCAATCTTTCAATATCAATTGATTACAACAATACTTAAGAAGCATGGCTTAAAAGCTCGAACTATTAATAATACACAAAAATAGAAGCTGCAGCCATTCAAAGTAAGGAAAGAGTAGCTACCTCTCTTCCAAACTGATTAAATAAACCCCAAAAATTCTATAAAGTAACTCAGATGTTGCTGCTATAAGTACCATCACTTCACTATTAATCCCTCATATAACAATCTCTATTCTCATAGCAAATTACAAATACAAAAATGGCAGACAATGGTAAGGGAAAGCTTCCTGTTGACCCAAAATCACACTCATCAGGAAAGCTAACATTGAAATCAATGGAAAAAAGAATTGATGCACTTGCAAGACAAGTAGAAGAGCTAGAGCACAAATTGCAGCACCTTCAAGCAACCACTTCAAGGGAGATTTCTATGCCAGAACAAAGGCAAATGCCACCAAAGAAGCGTCGTTTTATTCTCGGATCAGACTCATACTAGGAGCAAACAGTAAGCTATTCCTACAACAATGACTTCCAACACCTCAGTTTTGACTCAAAGGATACCAACCATAGCAGTGACCCAGACTGCAATGCTGATGATGATAGTGCATCTTCCAATGAAGACACCTCCAATACATCATCTGGACAAGAACAAGACTACTCAGATAGCAGCAATGATTCAAACAGCAGTGAGTCTTACTACTAGAAGATCATGCAGCCAAGACAACCCCCTAAGCTATGACAACTTATAAACTATTAAATGAAGTCAAGCAAAACTATAACTACTTATAATGTACTATCTAGCAGTAAGTTGTATTGTGTCAATATATGGCATTAGAGCTAATTTTAGTGTGTTGTCTACCATTAAGTAATATTGTGTGAATGAATGGCAGCTTTAGGAAATACATGTATGGTGCTGCTCTTATTATATATAATTAAAATTAATTTTATATAATTTACTCTGTTTATAATTCTATAATTAACATTGTTAAGTTTATAATTTAAACATTGTAATATGGAGGCTTGCATTTCAAAGTGTTATGTGGTCTGAATGTCATGGAAACAACAATCAAATAACTAGCAAATCAGTGTTGTATCTTTACTTAAATCCACACAAACCACAATCAATTAAGCATGTCTATCAAAGAGTTCTATGGTTAGCTAATGTACTATAACTACAAATCACAAATTAGGATACTTTTTAATGCAGATTGACCCTTCAACAGATAATTACCAGCTGCTTCTTTCAAAGCCAATCTGCTAGTTGTGCTTTGCAAGTCTCTTTCAATGATAATTACTTATCTTGATATTCATATCACAGCCCAGCTTTAGCCAACCGATTGGATTCTGATTATCATGCTTCAATCCAAAACTGATATTTATGCAATCTGATGTGCATGAAATGGCAGTTGACATGAGAAATAAGTTTAACATTGTGCCAGATTTGCTACACATTGATGTCAAAAAACAAGAGTAAGCCTTTCTTAAATCAAGCCTTGTTCTTTAAAGCCTTTTTTTCCCATTTGAAATCAGATTAAAGGCCAATTGCATAAAAATAGATTTGCATTACATAAGTTTGAGAGATTTAACATTACAATAAATGTAGCCATTTACCTACTGTTAGCTAGCAGCCTAACCATTTAAAGCACCTTAACCTAGCACCAAAACCAGTATGTCTTATCTGAGATCACAGTGTCTTTGCCCTCTTCACTTTCAATCTTATGAGCATCCTCACTATGCTTAAGTGCCACCTGATCCTTAGCAGCATCAAAGATCATGGCTACACTATCATCAGGGACATCTTCATTATTCTTCTTAGTTTTTTTCCCTTCATTACAGCTTTGCATTGCTTCAATTTCAATAGACACTTCAGCCAACTCCTTTTCTATCTTCACAACTCTCTTTCCCACTTCAAAATGAATCGCTCTTGCATCTGCTAATTGGCCCTGTAAATTAGCCTCTCTAAGTTGAAGATGCTCCAGCTTGGACTGCATGTTACGTTTCTGAGACATAGAAAAATGGTTAGAATTTTTAGGATGAGATATGTAGCAATTATGGAGTAAATTTTTTATAAATGGAGTATTTTAGAGAAATGAAAGGTTCAGAAGTGTTTACATAGGAAAAAACAATTATTTTTCTTTTAAAAAATCAAATAAAAGAAAACCTTTTAATTTCATTTTTATGTTTTTTTAAAAATTATTTTTTAAAAAACCACATAATTATATATTGAAACCTTTTAAAAGTAATAATACTAATTAATAAACATAATAGAAAAAGATAAATACTAAAACCATAATAGAAAAGGATAAATAATTTAACTATTATAATCTTAAGTCAACCTCCTAAAAGGAAAAGAAAACTAGCAAAGGACTTTCATGGTCAAATAACAACTAAACAAAGAAAGAACAAATCAGCATTAGCCAAATAGAAATGTAAAAAAATTAAGCAAGAAATCAAGTGGAGACTTTTGAAAACCCAAGTTATTAAGCCACATTAGAATTTTGGGCCTTTATGGTAACCCAAGCCATTTTTAAGCCAAAAAAAAAAATTGGGCCTTTAATACATATATAGTACTCTTACACAATCATGTACAATACTCAAGTAAACCAACTTAGTTTTCTTACACAATCATGTACAATCACTTATTTTAGTTTAATTTTATTAACGACATATACATTCACTCATAAATCTATATTTATTCATAACTACACTAAAAAAAATACACATTAGCCTTAGAAAACCACACATCTAGCTATAATAACTAGCAACACCATACTACCTCGCGCACAACGCCGGACCACCCTAGTTCTTTAAAGTTTATTACACAAGTTTAATACTATCTCCGTTAAAAATTATGTGGTCCATACAAATATCATTATACAAGTACTCCACATACATTTTATTCTTTAAAGTTTATTACACAAGTTTAATACTATGTATCTCCGTTAAATATTATGTGCAACTTTGGAATTTTATATCTCACAAATAATAGTCCAGAGTTACACATAATAATTAACAGAGGTAGTACAGTAGATAATTATTACTCCGTACTTCGTATATAAGTATATACAATATACGATTAAATCTTACAAATACGACCTAGCAATTTGACCATTACCCCCCTTGGGGTAAAACCCACCAGGAACACGCTCATCGCCTGTATCATACAAAATCCTAAGTATTTCTTCAGGGGATCGAGCATAGGAAATCGAGTCAGCGTTCGCCGATAAGATGTTCGTGGAAGAGTTGCCCTCAGCTCCGAGCTCCGGTGGGACTACAATGCCTTCGTCTTTGACGCCACACTTGCCTAGGTTGTTCCTTAGAGTTGAAATGCGATTTGTAAATTCTGCCACGGTAAAATTATATGGTTGTACTCTATTCCTTTGTCTCTCGTATAGGTACGTCCTAATTACAGCATCTTGTCCGCTTTCAACTCCTAAAAGTCCTGCTAGGAGCTGCTTAACAAATAATTTTAATTGAAGAAATCATTAAGAGTTGAATTCAAAGATATTGTCATCACGAGTCTAACAAGCTCAGATAAGATAAGAAGTTCAAATAAAATATACTTCCTCCGTTTTCTTGTAAATGCAACACACCCTTTAGTGTGGTAATTAAGAAAGATAGGGTTTACATGATATAATAAACTTTAAAATAGGATGAGTGGTTGTTAGGATTGTAATTTAGTGGACCATGTTCTTTAAATAAGGGATATAGTATAGTTTTTCCCTAAAGTAACTTTCCTTTTATAGTGTGTTGCAAGTATTGTGACATTTCCTTTTTAGGGAAGTGTTGCAAGTAAAAGAAAACGGAGGAAGTATAGGTTAATAAGTTCAATTAGTATAATAAATTCGTACATTTTAAAAAATATGAGATAACTCTTATGAATAATGTTTGAACAATTATACCCTCTAAAAAGCTTATTTACTTAATTGTCCCATTAATGTTACTTTAGCTCTTTTTTAAAAATCTTAAGAATAGTGTGCGGACATTTATACCCCTAAAAATATTTATTTACATATTTTTCATCATTAATAATTCTACTTATAATTAAAGTTGTGACGTTAGCCACCTTAAGTAAGCAAAAACTTTTGTGTACACCCCATTTACAGAATCATTAATGCATATCGAATAGTTTTAGGTAGCTTTCCGCCAATTTGGAGTAATTTAATCTTATTTATTTAGGGTTTTTTTGAACAAGATGTAATTTTAGTATATGTAAATGGGCAATGGAATGAGTTTTATAAAAATAATATAATTACATATGATAATTTAATGAAGAAATAATAATAATAAAAATAATACGTAATATATTAAGCAAAATAAAGAAAACAATAATCTTATCCTTCGGGAAGCATAACCTTTGATCTGTGAGTTAGCACCAACATAACCATTAAGTCCCAAGTAAGGAATAATGTATGAAGCCAACATGTAGCTGAGATTGTCTCTGTATGGATCAAATGGAGGCTCAAGATCTCTTTCAAACGCTTTATTTACGATTTTTGCAAAAAAATTTGGACTTAAATCCATCAATGGCCTTGGGAGTCCTCCAACTGTCTTTTTTATTATCCTAATAATAACACAAGTAAGATAATGTTATATTTTAATAGCATTTTAATACATAATTAAGAAATTTAATTAGAATATAACAAATTAATTAGGTCAATACTTGTGTGATATGATGCACTAATATATGAATATATGATAAGTACGTAATTAGATAATTGGTTAATTCGAATCCTTTACAGATATACGTGAATTAAATATGATTGCTATTATATGACATGAAAAATGACTTGTGATTAGTATGAACTATGAAGGGTGCAATGTGAAAACCTTAAGTGTCCAATTTCTTCATAAGCAAATTCTTTGATGATATTTTCTGTTAAGTTGTTAAGGTTAGCCTTTCGGACCCCGATTGGAGGTGGACCACCAAGGGTTAGCTCAGGGGCAACCTCGTCGAGGCCAAACCCTAGTGCACCCCACAAGAAGAAATCAGCTTCCAAATGCTCAATATTTTGTGCAAATTGCAACAAATTAATATCAATATTGTAAACCGGATGCACTCCAGGTGGATTTGGTGATTGACAATTTGGATCATTGGTATCATAAACCGGTTTTAAAAGGGTTAGAACATCAATTCGATCGAAGGGATTTAAATCAATACTCGGGTATACTAATCTAATCGACCCTAGGAAAATTAGGATGACTAATAACATTTGTGAGATTGACAATGAAGGTAATTTGGATACAATAATGCTCATTTTAGCACGATGAATTGGAAGAAATTGTGTTTGTTTAGAAGATACTTTAAGTTGGTTTTGTCGATGTGAAATTTAAGTAGCTTGTATATATACTAGTCTACCAATTGAAGGGGTCCTAACAGGGTCATTTTACTAACATCCCTTGTTTTTCTATGGAGTACTAATTTTTTTTTCTAAGGATTAAGCAACATTTATGGCTTTATTAGTACTCTCTACGTTTTTTTTTTGTGTATGTGTGTGGAAGATAATACATTTTGATACGATGATTTTAATCAATCATGTGCATTGTGCATGTATTATCTTTGACAAGTTTATTCTTGTACGTACTTGCGGCATTAAGGTGATCTTATTGTGTTATACTTCTTCCGCTCATCTAATATTGCATAATGTTGAGTTTGTAATGTTTCCTTGAACACAACATTAGTCATTCATACTTATAATTCTCGATATAGAAAAGTTATGCCAACAAGATTATTTTCCTAACGTATAAATCACATAGGAAGTATTATTCAATTCAAAAATAACATATATTCATTTTTAGATACTCGTAGTAATTTTGTGGGGATATACGAGTGTCATATGATGGTGATTGTAAGGGTTAGAAGAGCTTTCAATTCACACAAGAACATTGATTTTTGGTAACAAGTTTATACGGAGTATTACGCAACAAAGAAAATATTTGAGCTGGCTAACCTAGTTCCGTCCCATGGTCCATCCCACTACTACAGCCAAAGAAAAGATACTACGTAATAAATATTTATGGAATGGTGTAATTTCGTGTAGGCATATTAAACAAAATTATTGTATCAAAATCAAAATCATCTAATTCAATGGGACGAAGTCATCTTTGTTACGAAGATAGTGGTTTTGTCTTTGATTTATTTCTTATTTGGCCATTGGTGATGACTGGATGTGTTAGAATTGAAAATTGAGATGAGTGTGGGTTTGATTTTAGTTATTTTTTGGTGCATGATTGACGAATTAAAATAATAGTGACGTGTTTAATTTAATTTCTAACTAAGGTCATGCATAACCATATCAATGTATTGATGAGAATGAGGGATATCTCAAGTGGTTAGAGCTTCCTTCTCGATTCCAAGAGATTTTGAGATTGATTCTCATTATCTGTCCTTGTGGATCTCTAAACACTAAAAAATATCAATGTATTGATGGACTTTTTGCACTATTTATAGATTAGTTTTTTTACTACATTTTCTTTTTTTACAATTACATGCACTTGTGTTCATTATTATGTAAAACATTGTTAGATTATTCAAAATAAGTATTTCACAAGATTAAATTTTTATCAATTCTAATGTTAAAATTGTGCACTGACAATGGAGAAAAACACTTTATTACATATATATTAAGAAATGGTTGGATAATATTATATTGTATGGTGCAAAGCAAGACTTACTACTAGCATTAATAATATAATGAAGCATATCTCTAGTGTTTTTACAAACTTATTGAAGAACATAAAAAAACTAGCTAGTATTGGTCTTTAAGGTACATCCTAGCAACTTCACCATTAGCTCCCTTAGGGTAAAACCCACCAGGGTGATGCTCATTGCCAGTTTCATACAAGACTCTAAGTATTTCAGCAGGTGTTCGAGCATAGGAAATCGAGTCTTGGTTCGATGATAACACATTCGTGCTAGTCCGACCCTCAGCCCCAAGCTCGGGTGGGACAACAACACCTTCGTCTTTGATGCCACACATGCCCAATTTGTTCCTTAGGATTGAAATACGATTTGTGAATTCTGCCACGGTGAAGTTGTATGGGTACACTAGGTTCATTCGTCTTTCGTATAAGTACATCCTTATTACTGCATCTTGGCCTGCTTCAGTTCCGAGTAATCCTGATAAGAGCTGCATAAAAATCAATTCATCAATACAAAATCAAATTGGAACATTATATTGTGCAACTCTTATGCTTAAGTTGCCAACTATGTATGTCACAAAGGGTGTAATAGGATGCTAATGGTCTCAAAAAAGGGGTATAAATTTGGATGGACTAGATTGGACTTTTTGCAAGTAAAATCTAGTCCGATTTACATATGTTTGGACTTTTTTTTCTTGAAAATTTAAGCCCAAATCAAATACAATCCTATCCAATCCGAATATTTGATACATACAAACAATTTTTAACCCTTGGTTTAATCTACACACAAGAACTGGAATCAAATCCCGGTGTTTAACTTTTAAGTGTTGGTTATTGGACTAAATGGCTTATGTATTTCTATAGCAAGTATGGAGTATTAGATAAGAAAGGTAGCTCCTTATACCAATTATGGTTAATTTGTCACAATTCACAAATCAAATTTCAAACACATTTTTCAATGGCCAAATGATCAGTTGCATAACGTGACTGATAACTATTAATTCAATTTCACCAAAAAAAAAAAAAAAAAAATAACTATTAATTCAACTGTCCTATCGTGCTAAAATTTTATGAAGGGTAGTTAGCCAATTAATCTACATTAAATACTGTACTCATATAAAGGAAAGCTTTAAGTATGATGTACTATTCATCATGCATGCAAAATTAAATACGAGAAAGAAAACAAATCATAAAATACAATTAAGCTAATATTTTCTCACTCCATTTTTGGAAATGTAATATATACTTCGTATTTTGATATGTGAACAGTGTAGTGGAACAAGTAATAAAAAACAGAGAGCGTATTTCATACCCTTTTAGTAACATAACCTTTGATCTGCGGGTTAGCACCAACGTAGCCGGTAAGTCCCATGTAATAATATATGAAGCCAACATGTAGCTAAGACTATCTCTGTATGGATCAAATGGTGGCTTTAGATCACTTTCAAATGCTTGATTTACAACCCTTGCAAAATTTTGTTGACTTAAATCCATTAATGGCCTTGGGATGCCTCCAACTGTCCTTTTTAAGGCCCTATATATATAAATTTTAATTAAAAAAAAACCGAAGGAAATAAATTAACAAGAATGAATAGAGTATAAAACATATTCCTCGGCCGGCCTCAACCATCAGCTTGCTATAAGATAAATTTAGTATGTTAAAGGATCATCTTAACACAAAGCTTAAGCTGATAAATACGTAGGGTTATGTATTGATTAAATAAATAAGTAGAGCATAGTATTATTTGCTAACCTCAAGTGTCCAACTTCCTCAAAGCCAAATTCGGTGATAATACCCTGAGTGAGGTTGTCAAGGTTGGCCTTCCGAACCCCAATAGGAGGCGGACCGCCAAGAGTTAGTTGCGGGGCAACCTTGTCAAGGCCGTACCCTAGGGCACCCCACAAGAAAAAATCAGCTTCCAAATGCTCTACATTTTGAGCAAATTGCAATTGCATTATATCAACTTTGTAAATAGGCAACACAAAAGGTGGGATTGGTGGTTGGCAAGTAGGATTACTCGGGTTGTTACTATCATAAAATGGATCGTAAAGGCCTAGATCATCACCCGAGGTATTGTAAGGGTCCGAATCAACACCCGAGTGTACAGAACTGATCCCTCCTAAGAGAGTTACAATCATGATTAACATTTGAAAACATGATAATGAAAGAGATTTGTATAGAAGAAAGCTCATTTTAAAGGAAAGGTAAGAAAATTTTGCTAATGTGAGGTTTGCTTTGATTTGTGAGATTTAAGTAAGTACGGAGTAACTCATATATATATATATATATATATATATATATATATATATATATATATATATATATATAGGATTAGGATCATGTAAAAACAAGTCTTAGGGTAAAAACTGAAAACAATTAATCCTAGCCGTAGATTATAATCTAGCGGATGACATCTAATGTATATAACCTAATTTTCTCTCTCCTCCCGCGAAAACACCTTCTCTCTCCTCTGTTATTTTCTTCCTCCTCTTCCTTCTCTCTTCACTTTCTCTCTCCTAATTTCTCGACATTTTTTCCCCAATTTTCACGCTACTTTTTCAAACACCGCTTCAATTATTTTGATTTTTAGCAATTTCTCAGCTCTACGATCTATTATCAGGTGAGTTCTTTGTGGTAATTTCGCTATTTTTGCACGATTTGAGGTTATTAGGTTTCTGAAATTTTGTTTGCTGGAATTTCATGAGTATTTTTTTGTAGATTCAACCGGAAATTTAATGTCTATTGTGTTTTTCGTGTATGATTTTTGTTTAATTTTGTAATTTTGCAAGTTTTTTTATTTATTTTTTTCGATTTGATTTGATTTTTTGATTTTCAACTTAAGTTCGTTTTAGTAGGAGTATTTTTGCTCAAATTTCTACTTTTGTTGTTGTTCTTCACCTTCTTAGTAACACGATTTTTGTGTTTCTGATTTTAGTAAATTAAGTTTGGGTAATTTTAGTAACATGCATGTTTGATTATGACGAGATTTTGCGTGTTTCGTTCATCAATTTTGTTCGATTTCCAGTGCGATTTTGCGACTTTTGCTCATCAATTTTTTCGACTTTTTTCATCAATTTTGTTCGATATTGTTTGATTTTGCGATTTCCTGTTCGACTTTGTTCAATTTTGTTCGATTTCCTGGTTGATTTTGTTCAATTTTGTTCAATTTTATTCACTCATTTTTTGCTTTCAATTTTTTTGATTTGTGGGTTTTTGCAGGTGAAATGTGGGAATTGTGGAGAGGTGACAGAGAAGGAGAGTTATGTGATGTTGGGAGAAGTTGTTCCTATCCCTAAGAGTCGTGGCCAGGTTAATCTTGTTCAGAAGGTTTATCTCTATTACTCTCTGATAATCTGTTGTTCTATTCTGATTTGATTGTGCTCGCTCTATTTGAGATTTAGTTGTCGCATTGATAGTGTAATTTGAATGAGTAATGTTACAATTATATTTGAATGGAGGTAGTATTTTGGCACTATTGATTGGTTTTGTCAGTGTTAATTTCTTTTTCTGGACTAATTTCTTGCCATTTAGTTTCATGAGGGTTTTAGCATTATATTGACTATTTCTTGGTTATTGTAGTGATTGTAGTTATGTGTTGATCAATGAATCATATGCTGCATTTATCTTACTGTAAATGTTACATGGTTATTGTAGTGATTGTAGTTATGTGTTGATCAATGAATCATATGCTGTATTTATCTTACTGAATGTTACAAAAATGTGTGTTATCTGTAAGATGATCAGTGTTTATGAAGTCTATTTCTAGCGTATCTTATAGTGAAGGAAAGTGTTTTAAAGTTTTTGAGAACTTGTGGGTTCTAGGAGCTTTGAACTTTCATCTTTTATGTTTAGTGATGATCTTTCGTCAATTTGCTAGAACCGAGTTGAATACCCCTTAAGCTTCTTCATCCATTACAGGAGTATTGAACATGTATTAAGGATTATGAACACCAGGGTTGCAAACTGGAAATTTCTCCTCGTTGTTTTGATACCTGTCTGATTTATTGAACTGTTCAACATGATATAGCGTTTAAGTTTGGTATGAAATTTCTGCAATTCTGTTATCTTAGGATTATTTGCTTAGGAATT